CAGCCGCTCTCGCAGCCACTTTCCCGCCTCATTGGCTCCCAAATGTATTTTAAATATCACTCTACTCAGAGACAATTACTGAAAACGCTGAGCTCACACTGTTGATGGGCCCGGGCGGCCGGGCTCATTCCTCACCCACCGCCGTGCCATGGCCCCCTGCCCTCGCCCCACCTAGGCCCCAGCCCGGCCTCCCTCTGCCTGCTCTGGTCTCCTGGGGGTCTAGCTCTCCGGCCCCCCAAGGAGCTCGGACCTCCACTCCCACGCAGCTGCCGCCCGGCCCCTCCCTCCTTCTAAGCCGCCCTCCGCCCTCCTTGGAGTAGCCATCCCAGCCCTTGTCTCCGATTCCTCTAACCCACCCCCCGGCCCACAGCCCTCCCCATCAGCCTTTATCCACCGGGCTTCTGCAGCTTCTGTCCATGGCCAAGCCCCCTCTCAGGGATCAGGCCTCTCACCCCTATCATGGCCTTGCTCTCCTAGGTCAGCAGAGACTAGCTGGGGGCAGACCATCACAGAGCAGAGGACAGACGAGGTTCAGGGAGCGGGGTCTGTCCACCCTGCCTGGACACGCACCCTCCTACCGCCCACACTCCCCGGCATGCGCATTCACGCTCCCGGCACCTTGTTCAGACTTAGCCATCCTGCCTGCAGAGCAGAGGAGAAGCAAGTCTGGGGCCCCCAGAGCAAGTGGCCGACTCTGGTGTGAAAGGGGTGTGTCCTCATCCCAACTCGGCCTCCCTGCTTCTCCCAGAGGCTGCAAGAGCCTTGGCGGGGCTCCCACTGGCTTTGCGGCCGCCTCCCTCTGCGGGACCCACCCACTGCAGCCTCTCCTGCCAGCTGGGGGCATGGACCAGGGGTCCAGAGGCTCTGCACTACTATCCCTCACGCCGCCCCACGTGTGAATTCCTTCCAAAGGGCTCTAGAGAGGGAGGGGCGGAAAGAGATGTGGCCTGGCAGTGGCTTCGTGGTTCTCCCTCAACCAAACCCTGAAGGATCCCTCAACCAGGGACACTGGCCCCAGCCTGGCCCCCCTCCACTCATGCCCACCCCAGTCCTGAGTGGACAGGGGTGTGGGCAGGGAGGGGCTGTACAGGGCCGGGGTGGGGGGCACTCACCATGCCGATGAACTCCATCTCCGTCCGCCGGTCCTGCTGAGTGCGTTTCCTCTGCTGGTAACCTTTCCACACCTGCAGGGATACATGGGCCCAGGCACTCCCCATACTGCATTTCTGCAGAGATGTGAGGGGCAGAGCTCTGGGGAGGGCACCTCCAGAGGACAGCTCACTGGCAACTGCCCCCCTGAGCAGGGATAGCCCAGAGCGGGGTGGGGCCCGTCTGCACCCAAGGTGTCCAGCTCCAAGGCTGTGTCCCCTCAGCACCCCATGCCCCGGAATTCCCTCCTTCGCATCTCCACCCTCTAACCTGCTGTATCTTTTGAAGCACAAATCAGAGTTCAAGTACCACCTTCGCCGAGAAGCCCTCCCTAATCTCACTTCTCAGAATCCCCCCAGCATTTGGAATAAATGCTTGATTCCACCCAGGCACATAGACGTGGGTGCTGTAGGAACTGTGCAGCTCCCCTACATCTTGGACACAAGGAAACTGAGACCAGAGCCGGGACATGGCCTCTCCCAAGTCCAAGGGCCATTCGGTGCAGAGCCGAGACCAGGGCCAGGTTTCCTGACCCCTCACCCAATGCTTCTCTCCCAGGCTGCTGGCCACTCTCGGACCCGTGGACACCCCAGTGCCATGGGGTGAAGGGTGGGCGCTGGGCAGAGGGGGCCATGGCGTCGCCCCGGTAGTGTCACTGAGACAGCGCCTCGGTGAGCAGGCCCTGCGTCCAGGTCCCCGTCCCGCTTCGTCCTCCTGTTCCCGTGACTAGCACGGGAAAGGCCCCCGATAACTAAGGGCATCTGATGAGTGTAGTGGGGAACGTGGGGCCTGGAACGCAGTGTTTCCACACCCTTGATGTCTGACAAAAGGGACAAGAGACTTGCTTTGGCTCTCAGGGGGAAGGGAAGCTCTAGCTTTGGGGCTGACCTTCCTTCTCCAAAGGCTTGCTTCCGCGCTTCCTGAGGGCGAGGACCCCCTGCTCATCCGTGGGGCAGCCAGACCTGGGTACAGTCACCCAGATGCAGGGGACTCAGGCTGGGGTTCTCTGCATACTGATTTATAACCTAAAAATCTACCTCATTTGGAGAGGATGTCTGTTCTCAGGGCTGTTGCTTGTTAGTTGGTTGGTTTGCTTTTGCATTTTGGGGGGAAAGAG